CAGATTTGCTCATTGCGTGTTTGGGGCAATCTAACCATCTAAGTATAGGCTATTATAATAAAATCAACCACCGTCGCCATAATTCATTCATATGAAATCTTATGCATGGCCTTAAAGAGGAAAAGTCAACGAAATTCATTGGCTATCGCTGGTAACCATCAACTTTAAACTTCAATGTTTCCCGTCATTATTAATGATCAGAAGTTTGCGAGACAAGAACAGTATGGATCAAACATTTATTCTTGTTGTTTAATGTTGAATTTTGTGAAGTATGCTGTGTGGAGATGATGAATCATGTGGTAGCTCATCTGTCTAATCTCACAGTACTAATAGCATCATTTGTGTAAATCATATGGTCTACCATATTTAGATGCAGAATTTATAACACATCACTGTTATTTTTTCTCTTTTTTTGTTGCAGTCGGAAACGATTTACCGAGAAGCAAGCCGAACAGTGGTGGGCGGAGAATCGAGCAAGAGTATATGATCAATATAACGTGTATATGATCGATAAGTCCAGTGTGGGCGTCGGGAGCGAGGACTTGGCTCACTGACATGGGAAAGGGTCAGTCTAATCCAATTTGATTGTAAATGAACAGGATGTTTACAGTCTCACAGCTTATATTACTGGTAAGTGATGATATGATCATTTTGTATGGTTTTATCCACCCCTTGGGATAGAAAAGAAACGGCCATATATAGTATTGAGTTAGAGGGATAACTAGAGGGGTTTGTGTTTTAAATTGTTCCCCTGTTTTTCACCTTCATTTTCTTGTTCGTTTCTTTTTCCCTTTTCTCTCTTTTTTGGGGGTCCCTCAATTTTCCCCCTATTATATGTGTCTATCTGGGGCATTGAGTGTGAGAAATGTAAATTTTTAGTAACTTCACATCAGCTGTGCAATGTAAATCCGATAAAGCGAATGCGTTTGCATATTTTTCTACTTATAACCATTCCAAGCTTAGTTTATGATTCCATTTTTTTCTTCTACCTAAAGAACAAATGTAATTGTACGCTGTCGGTTTTAACTACTTTTACTCTCCTTGATTTGGTGCATTTGGTATTAACGATGCTCGAGTCCCTCGAACATGTCACTCGTGTATCAAGAAACAAAATTTGAGACTTACCTTCCTTTTGTGTTTGATTATCATTTTACGCTATGAGTGCATTCATTTTCAATCAGATTTTATAGCTTGAAATATTCCCAACTTTTCTTCTTTGGATGAACTTTTCCAGCATTTGCCATAATTTGATCCATCAATAATTTTGGCTTCTTTTAGGACTCTGTTAGTTCATCGTTATTCATCACAAGACTCAATTTCCTATTGCAAGATTCAAAAAAGTAGAGTAGTTGGATTCAGGTAAATTTATTTATTTATTTATTTTAAAAAATGTTCTAATAGTAAAGCAAGACTCAAGATTCGAACAGTTAAATGTAAAAAAAAAACCATTATTATTAATCAATTATAAATTGATTTAATGATATTAATTTCTTTGAGAAACTAAGCAACATATCATTGTCGAACTGCCGACAAGATGCATCAATTGGCAAAAGCAGCTCATTCTTGTTCCAATCTAAACTAATAGCTCATCATTGTTTATTGGAAAATAAATTAATTAAATCTTTTATATGATGTAAATGAGTTTATTTATTGATAAAACTATTCTAGTAAATAATTAAATAAATAAATATGAACTCTGCAGATATCTATATATATATATACTTTTTAAATTTTCAATCCATTTTCCCTCGTATCTCTTCCTCACTTCACAAGTCTGCATGGGTTCTCGCGTCCCAAACTCTCTCCCTGTATGGATTATATGACACTATTATCTGCCTTGAGAACTTGCGCTAGCTCCAAATTGCTGAAACAAGGCAAGCTCATCCACCAGAGAATATTTTGTTCAGGCTTTCAATCCAACCTCACCCTCTGCAAAGCCCTCATCGGCTTTTACTTCTCTTGCTATGATTACAGATCAGCGGAGCTTGTTTTTCAGACCAATGATTGCCCATTGGATGTTTCTTTGTGGAATGCTCTTCTTTCTGCTTACACCAAGAGTTTCAGGTTCGTTGAAGCTCTGCAACTCTTTGATCAATTGAAAAGTCATTCTCATGTAAGACCTGATTGTTACACTTACCCTGTTGTTCTTAAGGCGTGTGGTGGATTGGGTAGAGTTGTTTATGGGAGAAGGATCCATAATCATTTGATAAAAACGGGTTTGATTTGGGATGTTTTTGTGGGGAGTTCTATGATGAATATGTATGCGAAATGCGATCAGTTTCATGATGCCGTTAACCTGTTCGATGAATTTCCTCAGAGAGATGTGGGGTGTTGGAACGCTGTTATCTCTTGTTATTTTCAAGATGATAAGCCTGAGGCTGCCCTGAAGATGTTTGATAAAATGAAAGAGTTGGGTTTTGAGCCTAATTCAGTGACTTTTACCGTCGTTGTCTCATCATGTGCAAGGCTTTTGAATTTGGAAAGAGGTAAGGAGATTCATAGGGAGTTGATCGATAGGAGCGTTTTGTTGGATGATTTTGTTCTTTCTGCCCTTGTAGATATGTATGGAAAATGTGGTTGTTTAGAAATGGCCAAAGAAGTTTTTGAGCAAATCCCAAGGAAGAATGCGATGACTTGGAATTCTATGATCACAGGGTATAGCTTAAAAGGTGATAGCAGATCCTGCATTGAACTTCTCATGAGGATGAGCTACGAGGGAACCGAACCGACTTTGACGACTTTGACCAGCATAATATATGCTAGCTCAAGGTCTGTTCAACTTCGGCACGGAAAATTTATACATGGATATATTTTGAGAAATAGAATAGATGTCGATATCTTCATTGACGTTTCTCTCATTGATTTTTATTTTAAATGTGGATCGGTTTCTTCGGCCGAAACTGTCTTCAGAAATGTATCCAAGAATGAAGTAGTTTCTTGGAATGTTATGATTTCTGGATATGTGATGGTGGGTAATCACATTCAGGCTCTTTGTGTCTATGATAACATGAAAGAACATCATGTAAAACCAGATGCAGTAACATTTTCTAGCACCTTATCAGCTTGTTCACAGCTAGCAGCCTTGGATAAGGGTAGGGAGCTTCACCACTGCATCATCAGTCATAAGTTGGAATGCAATGAAATCGTCATGGGGGCTCTTCTTGATATGTATGCTAAATGTGGTGATGTCAACGAAGCACGGAAACTATTTCATCAGTTACCAGAGCGAGATCTTGTGTCGTGGACATCAATGATCACTGCTTATGGATCTCATGGCCAGGCTTCTGAAGCTTTGAGGCTTTTTGATGCAATGCAGAAGTCGAATGTACGAGCCGATTCAGTTACGTTCCTAGCAGTTCTATCTGCTTGTAGTCATGCTGGATTGGTTGATGAAGGTTATATATATTTCAACGAAATGATCACTCAGTATGACATTAGGCCTGGCATTGAACACTATTCATGCTTGATAGATCTACTTGGACGTGCTGGAAGATTACATGAAGCTTATGAGATTCTCGAAAGATCAGAAGAGACTAGGAACGATACCGGATTGTTAAGCACACTGTTTTCTGCGTGTCGATTGCATAATGATTTTGGTTTAGGCAAACAAATAGGGAAATTGCTTATGGAGGTACATCCTGATGACCCATCTACTTACATTTTGCTGTCGAATATGTATGCTTCTGTCAATAAATGGGAGGAGGTACGTAACGTACGACGAAAAATGAAAGAACTTGGATTGAAGAAGAGGCCTGGTTGCAGCTGGATTGAGATAAACCAGAGGATTCAGCCATTCTTTGTTGAAGATAAGTCAAACCCTGTAGTTGATGGGGTCTATGAATGTCTAAGCACACTAGCCTGTCATATGGAGAAGAATGAACTTGAGGTGTTGCAGATTAGCAAAAAACTGGTACACCGATGATCCTTGCTTCCATACATGCCAAAACAGCAATCAAACTCCACCTACAAGTCAGAATTTTTAAAATTTTCACAAGTCTCCTGAAAAAGCTTAACGTGAGTGTGGAGCCTCAAGAGTTGCGGTTTGGAGCTTAGAAGAAGAGTTTATTGTGCTTGATCAATTGATGTGATGTATATATATGGATTTTTAACTTTGATATCCAAATGCATGAATTATTGATTTCATATTATCTTGTTTTGTGCTAATTTCTGTGGGGGAAGGGGACAATCAATGGACAGAAATCAATAAAGAAATTTGATTGTACAGAAAGGTGTGCAAAAAGAAGGGTTATTATTAAGTTTCAATTAATTTTAGAACACAAATGAACATGGAATCCGTTGTCGTCCAGCGGTTAGGATATCTGGCTTTCACCCAGGAGACCCGGGTTCGATTCCCGGCAACGGAATTTTTTTAGTTTTATTTATTTAAACTTGATATTATTTTTCATCCTCATTTACACAAACATAAATTCCGTTGTCGTCCAGCGGTTAGGATATCTGGCTTTCACCCAGGAGACCCGGGTTCGATTCCCGGCAACGGAAATTTTTTAGTTTTATTTATTTAAACTTGATATTATTTTTCATCCTCATTTACTCATACATAAATTCCGTTGTCGTCCAGCGGTTAGGATATCTGGCTTTCACCCAGGAGACCCGGGTTCGATTACATAAATTCCGTTGTCGTCCAGCGGTTAGGATATCTGGCTTTCACCCAGGAGACCCGGGTTCGATTCCCGGCAACGGAATTTTTTTAGTTTTTATTTATTTATACTTGATATTATGTTTAACCCTCAATTACCCAAACAAAAAATCCGTTGTCGTCCAGCGGTTAGGATATCTGGCTTTCACCCAGGAGACCCGGGTTCGATTCCCGGCAACGGAATATTTTTCGTTTTTTTTTTTAAGAAGGCCCATTTTGTAACTGGGCCGATAAAAGCCCATCTTTCTTTATTCTTCAAATAGTCGTCTTGTGTTTATTTTCGGGCCAGGCCCATGATCGTGGTTTCAACTGGGCTGAGGCGCAGGCTGATGAAAAGATTCTTGTACCCGAACAGCCATTCTGTGAGATCAGAGAATTCAACCTTCAAAAAGAATCGTGTTGAAAAGATTGTTGAGATACAATTCGAAGCTTAATTGCTCGAGGAACAAATTTTCTCCGTCTCTTGTTCGAGGAGAATAATATTAAGGTCTCTGAGAATGGCGAGAGATAGCTGCTTGGCTCGAGTTACTGCGGGAGTTGCCGTTGGTGGCGCTGTAGGTGGAGCCGTCGGTAAGGAAACCCTAAATTTTCTTCAAAGTTCTAATGCCTGTTGTCTTCTTATATATCATTGATATTCCCGTTTTTCTTTTGTTTTTCGACTTCCGAATTTCGGTTATGGTTTGATCGTTGTTCCGCTTTCTCAGCGACTGATATTTGGTCAAGTGGTATAGGATTTTTTGGATTAAAGAGTTAGCATACGCTGGAAGCTAAATATTTGGTCAAGTTGCGCTATTGCATCTGTGATTGAACCATGTTTATCAGTGTTAATGTACCACTAAGAAATATACCGCTGTGAAGCCTTGGATATATTTGGATATATTTAATTATTCCATCTTATCTTTCATATTAAAGCTACGTTTCCTTTGGATTTGATAAAATAAGGCTTTATTTGTTGGATAATATCACTTGCTGGTGGACATAGTTTTTGTTGTGTAGAAAGAGTTCTTAGCTTTTCAGGGCCCATCGTAATGAATATTTTGATTGAACTGCTGTAGATTTAACCTGTCAAGTATGGAGTCAAATAATCTTATCTTTGGGGTCCGTGTACTCCATTGGCCTATTTTGTGGATACCTCATAAAGTTCACCGGAACTTGTGTGCTGACTTCCTGAAGCTCAAAGTTTAACCTTATTTAACAAGTAGCAGTGTACTTTTTCAAGAAGCTCCTTATTTTGCTTTCTCCATTTCAATAGAGTGTCGAGCATTTTGGACTAGCCAGTGCCACAACTTTGAAGATATACATCAGTTATGAAATCTCTGTAACCAACAATTCGGGCTATCGTTTCTTGTTTTTTAATATTTAGATTGGACGGCCTTTCTTGTTTATTAGAGTATCTTACAATCAATGCTGCAATCAATATATTTGTTTCATCAGAATTATGATATGCTTTGGCTAAGGATTCTAGAACTAACTTTTTTTTTCTCTAGGTGCTGTTTATGGGACTTATGAGGCCATTAGGTTTAAGGTATACTATTTCTCCGATCCAAATCTTTAAAAAATATGACTTGAAATTCAACCTCGTCTCTCTGCTGTTTTATGATTTTATTAAGTTACTCATCAAATTATCGCAAATGGTTAATCCTTTTCCATCTGTTTTTGTTTACAATTAATTAACGTCTTATCTAAACATCTTGAAACTAATATGAGATTCCATCTCTTCATCATTAGAAATTCTATGATCATGGGAGACTACCCAAAGTAATGTTTCATTAGCTTGGGATCAAAATTTGCAGATGGAAAAGGTCTATGCCTTTAAATTTGCAGATAAATGTGTAGTAATCTACTTTAAATTTACTACACATTTAGCCCTTCTAAAAACAAATTTCATGATTTTTTCCATGATTGGTAATTCTTCCTGAGTTTCTATATTTCTTTCTGCAGACAAATGCCTATGCCTTGAACCATTTTTGCTCATTTTCTTCATTCTTATTATTCAAGTTTCTGTCATTGAAACCTGAAGATTACAACGTCCTCGTTACCATTTTTACTTATTTCAACTCCAGGTGATGATAGATGGTAATTAACTATGGACCAAACTTGCATTTGTTCGTGCAGGTGCCAGGGCTTCTGAAGATCAGGTATATTGGACAAACAACACTTGGAAGTGCTGCCATATTTGGCCTTTTCTTGGGGGCAGGGAGTTTGATACATTGTGGAAAGTCATACTGAATCACAAGTTCCTGAATTTGGATGAGATAATATTGTTTGCTTTTAGTTTCCTTGCTTTTCAACATGAAGTTATTGCAGACGGTCATTTGTTTAGTTAAAAGGTTCCGTTTGTTTTAGTTTAAGGAACAAAATGGTCAATTGATGATGCCTTCAACCCTACTTGGATGTGAAGTTTTCAAGTTTTGTTTGCCTCATGATTTGTCAATTTAATTAAATATTGTTGTCGACCAACATTTTTTTAAATAAAAAAGTTTATAAAAGCTCTTTGAATTAATAATTAAGCTGTCTTTACTTTTAAACGAAATTAATATATAGATTAGTTAAAACAATTTAGACTAGTGAATTTTCATTAAAACTCCAAACCAATAATTGAATTAAGAGTTAATTTAGAGTTCACTTAATTACATTTAAAATCATATCAAAATCACCTCAATATTAATATTCTTCTCCAAAGAATCATCAAATCAAATCAAAGTATTAGTAAGAAAAAATAAAGGACTAATTATTTTTAAATAAATAAGAAAAAAAAATGTATTAATTATCTCAAAAGAAGGTTAGTTTTATAACCTAAAGCGCGGAAATGAAGCCGGGAAAGAGATTCTGCGGAGTGGGGCTGGAAAAGAATAGGAGGTATAAAAACAAACGACTCCACTGGGGATCGAACCCAGAATCTCTGGTTTCGTAGACCAGCGCCTTATCCATTGGGCCATGGAGTCGCCTTTGAGAAATCACGCTTAATACATTACAACTTTGTTTTGTTTTGCAACTTGGAATTCCAGATGAAAGAGTTTGTAATAGGATTTGTGAACTTTCTGAATACACAGGCATTCTGATGAGAATGCCTGAAGGAGTGAAAGTAAACATCAAATATTACAATAACACAATAGTTCTTTCTTTCTTTACACAGTAGACGTAATCAAATGCATGAGAACGGATCACGGTCTCGACCGAAATCAAATCCGAGAAGGAATGAGTGGAATGTTGTTCTGTAAATATGCAGAAGCTGCTGCTACCCCACTTCCAAGCTTCACTGGATATCCCACATCCTTCAGAATCATCTCCACACCAGCAAGACAACCCAACAGTTGCAGCTGAAAAAAACACGACCGAGTGACCGACGTATTAGCACATAGTATATCAAACAGTATATAAATAGGAGAGCATTAAAGAGGAAGTTCACCTCATTGAGGTTGCCAAGGTGCCCAATTCTGAAAACTTTGCCAGCAACTTTGTTCAGCCCCAAACCTAAACTCAAATTGTATCTCTTCCAAGCCCTTCTAACAATCTCTGAACTGTCAATGTATGGAGGCACAAGCACAGCAGTCACTGTGTCACTGAACCATTCCTCCTTCTGTGTGCAGTTCTTCAGGCCCCATGCCTCCACAGCAAGCCTATATGCATTTGGGACGAACTTTTAGAAACTGAAAATTTCAAACATACGATCTTATATACGAAAGATATGCAGAAATCGACCTTGTGGCTTGGCCCAAACGTCGATGTCTGGCAATCACATTTTCAAGGCCTTCCTCAAATATGAGATCCAAAGCTGCTCTAAGGCCATATAAGAGCTGGATGGAAGGAGTGTAAGGCCAGTAGGTTCCTAAGTTATAGAACTTGAGGTAGTCCTTCCAGTCAAAGAAAACTCTGAGTGATTTTGCTGTTTTAGATGCCTCGAGCGCTCGTGGGCTGGCGCATACAATGCCCATCCCAGTTGGAAGAGAGAGAGCTTTTTGTGACCCAGTTAAGGCCACATCTACTCCCCAGTCATCCATACGAAAATCAAGAGCACATATCGAAGACACTCCGTCTACCAGAAATAGCGCTGGATGCCTATATTCATCTGAGAATTTGATATCATATCAATGTTAAGACTCTTGATGAGCTAACATTTCAACTCCAAATACATTGAGATATCAAAAGAAATATGATCCTGTGGGATGCTTACCCAATATTCTTCTTACTAGAGACAAATCGTTAGTCACACCAGTAGCTGTCTCATTATGAACAATGCAAACCGCCTTTATAGTATGTTCAGTATCAGCTGCAAGTTTTGAGGCCAAAACATCAAGCTTTGCACCTTCACCCCAATCACTTTCAATAACATCGACATTGAAATTTAGGCGCTGCTGCTGATCGATCCAGAGCAAACTGAATTGACCAATGAGGAATGACACGATCCGATCTCCGGGAGACAATGTGTTTGTGAGTGCACTCTCCCATGCACCAGTACCTAATCCATAAGTAATGGCGTTATTCGGTTAAAAAAAAGTCATTTCGTTGGGAGAATCTTGAAAAAGATGCATCAAACTTTCAGTAACACTCAACATAAGCTTTTGTTGAGCTTCAAAATGGCACACCAATGACATTAATAATGAATTTGACATATCACAGCCATGAAAACATACTAATATGCTTGAAAGTTTTATTCAATGAGCTCAACCAACTCATCAACACTACAGTACCTGTAGTAGGGAACAAAAATGGAGTGCCTGATGTGGTCTTGAATATCTTCTTAACATCCTCGAGAAGAGTCTTCGTCAGTGCTGGGACGGCTGGAGAGCGATAGTCCTCGTTGTTTCTGTTCATTGCCCGGAGGACTTGTTCAGGGATATTAACCGGCCCCGGCACAAAAAGATGGTTCTTTCCAGGTCCATAAACGTAGTCCATCTTTCCCTTTTAGAACTTGCTGGTCTCAACAAGCCTCAGCTGCAAAAGAAAGAAGACAATGTTTTCTATAAATTCTGAAGCCCTATATGTTTTTACATACTTTTTATCCATTATCAATCAAAATCATTAGCCTCTTGGCAATCAGCATCAGCTAAAACACAGCTAAAACAATGAATAAAGAGTTTGCTCATCTAACAAGTTTTAGCATCGAAAAAAGCAGAGGAGTGATCATATTTGAATCAATTTCTGTATGGTTTCTCATGGAGTCTGAAATAAATCCTAATAATTTGAGAGAAAACAATACCCAATGGATAACTTTAAACTTCTTTTTTCCAAAGATGCTTAAGAACTGTGTATATAAAGCTTTGAATACAAAGCCATTAAACTATTGTACACAAATCAGAAGCCTTCAATCTTCAAACAAAAAACAACGTATCAACCATGAAGAGGGAAAAGTTATTGAACACAGGCAGTCTTTTTTCAAGTTTTCCCACATCGCTAAATTCGAAAGGGAAGATAGTCCAGCCAAATCCAATTCAAGAGGGCATATATAAGTTACTGTACTGAAGCTTTAAGAACCATGAATCTACAATTTGCATGCAGTTTAAGAGCAAAATACACAATAAAACACATAGGAAAAGAGAAGGGGTTTCCAAGTTGAGATTACCAGAAATGAAGTGGGAGGGAGGATCTTGGAGTAATAAGGCTTGAAACCATGAAAATGGATGTGGGGGAAGCGAGTTGATGTTTATAGGAGTGAGCGCGGGAGAGCCAACCATAATGGAAGGGCCCCATTTGGCTCGCACTCGGCAGATAAGAGCTCATGGCCCTCATTTTTGCGGCTACGCTTCAAGATGTGCAAATCACTTTTTTTTTTTTTACTTATTTTTTACTCATTTTGGTTTTTATACATTGAAAGTTTGTTCTTTTTAGTTGGGTTTTTTTAAAAAATGACCATTTTGATCTTTGTTTACGAATTCGAAACTATGATGAACAGTTTCCATTGAATGGAGAAAAGACAGGCAATTTAGAAGAACCAAAAAGTAAGAGGAATCTTGAAGAGTAAATTCAAAAGTTTGCATTTTTTTTCTTTAAATTTGTTGTTATTACGCCATGCAGTTTGGGAGAGTAAGAAGTTTGAGGCAGACAAAGCAACATATAAGATAAAGTGATAACGGGTTGTCGACCACAGCTTCATCCAAGAACTCAGTCCACACAGTTAGGATTTCATGTCTTTGTTGTTTACTCCAAATTTCATTCATAATAAAAAAAATATATCTTTTTCTCATTGGCAGGATTCTTTTTTTTNTTTTTTTTTTTTTTTTTTTTTTTTTTTTTTTTTTTTTTTTTTTTTTTTTTTTTTTTTTTGCGTTCTCTCTTGAATAAGATATTTATTTTCTTATTCATCAAAACAAAAAGGAAATAATGGGTTGTTCTTAGGTCAGCAGAAACAACTCTGATAAAACTTCTCTTCAAAATAATATTTTGGTTTGTTCTCTCAGGGTAACATTAGTTTATAAGAATAATAAGTTAAATTATGAGAAAGTACCATCAAAGTTTACTATTTGTTTAAATATATCTTCCGAAAGTTACAATATTATTCTTAATTTTTCATAAACATTTCGGTTCTTGATTAATTTATAAATGAAAATGTGAATTGTCACGTCATTCTAAATCATCTACCATTCTGAAAAAAAAATTCCTTTAAGAGTAAGTTTTAAAAAGTTCATAAAAACTCAACTAATATTACAACTTTTAAAATAATAAAGATATTTCTTAAATCGATTGAAGAACGAACATTTTTTATAAGGGTGTGAAAACCTTTACTTAAAACGGATAATTTCTACTAGAAATAAATTTAGACCGATACACAAAAGCCAATCATCTTTTGACAATCATAGAATTGTAGCTTAAAAAATAGTTTCTAAAAAAGGTTGCGAAGAACAAACTACAAAGAACTCGTTAGATTCAAGCTATGATTTGATTCATTTATGTTTCCTCGTCACAAAGAGTAACCACCTGCTAATTGTTACTCGATTTGGCTGCTATGCCTTTCTGCAACTGATATGATCCAACCAGAGGGAATCCGGCAGGGTTCAGGGACAAAACAAAAGGCATCTCATTTGCATGCTTTTCCATTTAACAAATGGCAATATCTGTTGAACATGTCAATGTTTCTAAACAAGAGATTTAAAGGGAGGGAATCCAATGGTTACTTTGGGGGGACATTGGAAGAGTCTCAATGAACTACATTTCTTATGGACAAATGAGGAAACAAATTGCACTACTGTAGCCAAAATGAAAAAAAAAAAATTGATAAATTTTCCGAAATAACTGATAATGTACATTTCTGGGTGAACATAGCATGTATAGGAACTACCCTCGTGAACTTGTGCGCCAAACGAGCTAGAAGTAGATCTCTTTCTTCTGAATTTTTGCTATATACGAAGAAATTACTCGAACTCAACTCGCATAGATGCATCTAGCCTTGAATATAATGTAGAACCTTTTCAACTTTACTCGGCAATCAATGGGGTCAGCATCAAAAATCCCATTTTTATGTTTTTTTTTTTTTTTTTTGGCAGATTAACGTTCTAGGGTCAGCCACATAACACTAATAGAGGTCTGCAGCTATTTATTCCCACGGTGGAAAAAGAACCAGAGAACTATATACCGCTGCGGTGGTGAAGGGGACCAAGTCAGAGCTGAAATCCTTCTCTCAGATCAGCCTCCCTAACACACACTGCAAAAGAGGCTCACTTGGCCTCCCCATCTCAATCTTGTCTCACAGGAAAACTAGTTTGACGGATCCTGTATGGCCGCTCGTTAGCAAACCTCCTGTTCTCAGTTGGTGCTGCCCCAAGAATCCCCAATGAATTTGGATCCATTATCCGACCGTCATTGCTCACAGGTCTATCAGGTGGACAAGGAACTTGGTATTGATTATCACCATCCCCACTTCTTCGTCGTTTCCATGCTTCGTATATCTCGGTTTCAACCCCCTTCTGAACTGGTTCAGATATTTGGAAGGAAGTATAATTTTTGTTACCCCGTAGCCTCGGGAAATGACGCGGCAAGGCTCCAAAATGAGAGGAGTCCCCATCCCTGCCCATAAGAGAAGATCCAGTACCGTTGATGTAGGATGGAGCCACTCCCACTTCTCTTTCCTGCTTGAGTTTTGAATAAATCTGATGAAGTCGCTCCCCAGATAAATTTGAAAAGGTGGAGACGTAATTCCATAATCGCGTTGTCATCCCTGCACAATTAATATCGACAACTTATATTTCGTTGCTTTGCTAACTAGTTCAAACAGAACATTATGGCCGGTTAAGAAAACAAGTGACAAGAGCATATAGAAGAGAGGAATATCACGTAAACATATGACAACATAATTATACTCAGAGCACATACTATCTTGTTTATATGGTTCCTCCTCATGATCTAGAACAACTTGATCTATCCTTCGTCCAAGAAGCTGCAAGTAATTGCGAATTTTCGAAAGGACCTGAACGAAAAGGAAAATAGAAATTCAAAATATTATTCCATAAAACAGATGGGTTCAGAATTCGGAACCAAAATAACAGGGACCTTTTCCTTTGGGAGTTTGGCACTAGTTGTTTGTAACCTTTGAAGCCGTTCCAGAGTTTTAATTTCATCCGCCATGACATCTTCACACCATTCCATCCATTTAACTTCCTTGAAATGCTCATATACTTCTTCGTTGTCAGACATTTCACCCTCCTCCTTCACGAGGTTCTCGACTCTCTGTGGTTTAGAATTTCTGTCCCTCAATTTAGCATTAACCTTGGGAGAATCTTGTTTCCCCTTTCTATCCAAGCCATGTGATGTCGAAACTTTTGGAATGTTTTCCCTATCCTTCTTTGCAGTCTTGCGACCAGCTTTAGAATTCAGATTTTTACCGAGTGCAGCAAGTTCCTGGTAAAAAAAATTTATGAAATCGTCATCCGTGAGTAATGAAATGTCTGGAGAGGAAATTAACCCATAAATAAAAAATAAAAAACACAAAAAAACAACACTCAAACTACAGAGAGACTGAACTTGCACCAGAAACTAAGGACACAAAAAAGCAAAGCTGTAAATTCTAATACAAAATTCACAACTTAATTATCAATTCTGTTTTTAGTCTTAATAAGTGCAATCCCTGCAACACCATAGATAAATTTTATCTTCTTCGTAAGCCTTTTAAGATAAGCTTTGGGGGANGGGGGGGGGTGTGCGCTATCCAAATAAAGTAATGGCCAAAAGATGTACCAAGTTAAGACTCCACTGTGCTCATTTAGCACGTCCTAAGAAAATATGAATTGCATGGCCTGAAACAAACTTTTTAACAAAGCAAGACAGTATTTTTAAGAACTGAAAATGCAGCTCCAAGTTGGGTAGGAACAATTCCATTGATAGTAAAATGGAGAGAGATGAAAAAAAAAAACTCTCTAGACGCCAAAAGGTGAATTACAATAAAGTTCTCCAGTTAGAAATTTAGGATGACCACCTATTAAAGCTGTATACTTTTGTCCCAATAAAGATACAGACCATGAAACAAAATTAAATTAAAAAAACTATCAAAATTTGAGGAAGAGTCTCTGGAAATCCTCCCATTCCATTCACATCAAAGGTTTCAGAGGAATGCCCTGTTGAAGCAAGCCTTACTGATTTATTCACACCATGTTTATAGAGCATGAAAATGAATAAAATCCAAACTGCAAGGTCTAAGTAGGCCAAACGGTTCAGAAACTGGTAGACTAGCTTTGCAAGTTTATTTATTGGCCTCGATATGAAAACCAATCAATTATAAAATTAAGCATCCGTTTGGCACTTAAATCAAGTTAAATGGGAGTTCATCATTGAAATAATCCAATGTCAACACTAGAGGTTGCAAAACTGATGACTTACCATCTCAAGAAGAGCATTACCACGATCTCTCAAATTTGGAGCACGTGGCAGAAATGTCTCATGATGTTGAAGTTCCACTGGAGCAATCTTTTTCATGAGACCGAGTTTTTCATCCAACCTGATCTTTTCCCAATTACCAAAACCATGGTAGTGTATTCCCAAAAGTAATCTCGCATCATCAACTTAGAATAAAGAAATATAAGTATTAGCAGAAATAATATAAATGGAAGGAGGGCAGGGAAAGGAGGACTACTGAATACTTACTTTGATTCCAGCCACAACCTTTTGACCAATTTGAAGGTTTCAGGTGCATCAAGGCACGAAATTGTTTGATAGGATCTTCATAGCGGCTAATTCGTTTTGCTAGAAGCTGAAGTTCTTCAACTCGGTTGAGAAGCTCATTAGCTTTCACTAGAACACCAAAGAAATCTAACAAAGGTCCCTAGAGAAATTATTTTAAACTTTTATAAACCAGAAAGATCCGCTTGTTTCCCAAATTGTTATTCATCTTCAGCAACCAGAACAGGAATTCATGTTTTATATAATTCTAAACAAACCTTTGGATCTGTTGATCCTGATTCAACAGCATCTCGACATCCATCAATTAAAGCCCTCAGTAGTTCAATTTGCTCTTCAGGCTTAGCTGCGCCAACTGCACCACCAACCTCACCAGCTATCAAGCTAATTTGACTCTCATTCCCAAATTTCATAACCTGGTTTTAAGTTAAAACAGAAAGTCAAGCAGTCTGAACAAAGATCAAACATGTCAAAGTTCAGTGGAGTGATATTCCAAAGAACAGATGACAGCAATTAGTAGTTAGCGAAGGATTAAAAATTAATAAGAATAGTCGCATGTGAGCAAT